ATAATATTCTATATCGGTAGACCCCTTGCTTTGTCATCACATGAAAGCTAGTTTTATTTCCTTCTTGAAAGACCTGTAATGTGGGCGTAACCTTGATATGAGAGAAGAGCTGTATATGTCGAGGAATGTTTGAGCTTGTTTTCTCATGACGTTGTTTACGAGTTCTACAAAATATTATTTGAAGCATGCTCTTTAACACATCCAATGTTATCCGTTACATTGGCCTGGTAATCAAAAGCTGATTTCATTAGATTTGGAATTAAAATATTAACGAATGATAATTTATCGAGAATGATGAAATGCGTTCGTTCTATTATACAATGTGACACATTGTAAGTGGTTGTCACCTACAACCTATCACTTCTATTATCATCATCAACCTGTTTTTTTTTAGCTAATTACTGTTTAAGCATGAAAACTGTTGTCTATAAATTGTCATGTACATTAACAATGAAAATGCGAAAAGTACTGAACGGAATACTATTTATTAGACAAACTGTAAATTAATGTTTTTAGTTTAGTATAATAAGACTAATTTTAATCGCATCTTGTCAAATAAGTTGATGATTTAAATGATAAAGAAACTGAAAATACATAAAGTATATTCTATAAGAACGCGGTTTTTAAGGGTGTAAGTTACGGTATGTCTTTAAAGTAGACGATTTTTAGCCATTTTTCTTATTGAATTACATGCATAGGAATGTAAATTCATTATAACGTGCTGCCATCTATCCTTTGTTATTAGAACTAAGGGTTATGCTATTTAAATTTGATGAACTTGTAGGTAAACTGTGTTATGAAAATTAATAATAAATACAGTTTTTTGACCAAATTTGAAATTGCCTATTTATTTTTAACGTTCCAAAATGTATCTTTGGAAACGTTTTCTGTAGGTGCTGATAAACTTATAAGCATATGTCTTCAAAATCAATATTTTATAACAGTCTGTCTATCTGTACCTCTAGAGCCCTTCGGGGAGTGACATAGGAGGGTTGGCATATGAAGCAGACCCCCTTATGCTACACCCGGCGGCACCTATATCTCTATCGTGTGTTGGACGGGTACGTCAGGTATTTAATAATATTTAAAGAATAGAACCATCGTTTAGTTAACATCGGAGATCATTCATATCTTACATTCCCTTATATTAAAGTTTTTCTTCACATTTATTTGTTGTTAAACGGGTATCGAAACCATATTTTTATTGTTATAAGCCATCGTGCTTACCGCTGAGTCACCGGGAGTTGTACGAGTTGGTTGGATTAATTTAATACAATCGAATAGCCTACTGTGTTTCTTCTAAAGACAAACATTCGTTTCATAACGTTTGTGATTTACTAACTTCCTTTATGTAGATTCCCACCTCTGCCACATAAAAACATATTTATCAAAACTCCTGATTAGCAACCGAAACGTAGGACGTTAGTTAATTAACCAATTTGTAACACCATGACAACAACCGTTGTTACGTGATCGAACAACATGTTTTTTCTCCCACGTAGAAAAATACCGAAATGGTTCGGCTTAGTATGAACACACGTTTTGTTGTTAGATTCAACTTAATGAACCTGAGTATCGAGATGGAAGGATGAAATCTTAACAATTCGGTCGTTTGAAACCTAGAAAGTAAGGATTTTTTACACATAATTTCCTATGTTTTTCAAAGTATTGCCTTTTCCAGTTCATGAGAAATAACTAGTCGTTAGAATACTGATTGCAAGCTATCTGAAGTGAAAAATCTTTGTATTTTCTGTCTGGTTTTCGTTCTCTCTAGAATGTATTGATACATTTGTAAGTAGGATCTGATTAGGTTTTACTCAGACTAGTTAGTATAACTTATTTAATATTAACAGTATATCTCTGGAGTTTTTCGGTGCATTGAACGTAAATTTTGTCTTTCATTTTACTTTTATCGTAGCGAAATTTTAATGATTCTAAGTGCGTTAGTATGTATAAGAGTATAATATCATACTTGGGAATATAAATTAAATTAATTAACGGAAAATGTCCATTTAGTTTGTATCTCTATATATGTGTGTGTGAAGTTAGAGAATGGAGCAAGACAAAGTTCATTTCAGGTTCATAAGGTTAACATACTTACTACTTGAACTTAACAGTAACAGTACTTACCAACATGGCTCGGCATGGCCAGGTGGTTAGGGCGCTCGACTCGCAATGTGCGGGTTCGAATCTCCATCACACCAAACATGCTCGCCCTTTCAGCCGTGGGGGTGTTATAATGTGCGGTCAATCCCACTATTCGTTGGTAAAAAGAGTAGCCCTCTAGTCTTACACTGCTAAATTAGGGACGGCTAGCACAGATAGCCCTCGTTTAGCTTTGCGGGAAATTCAAAACAAACAAACACTGTAAGGTACTGTTGAAAAAAAAAAGCTGAAAATACTGAACATTTAAAGTAAACTACTTTATAACGTACAATCTTTTTGGCGCCAAGTGCAGAAATATGTTATCCCTAGACAATGAAACAAGCATTACAACAGTGCTTAGGTTTATAACTTGCTGTTTTCTTCACAGTGTTCAACTACTTTGCCTCAGGTGCGTGAATTAGACCCCTCGTCCTCTTTTACTCCAAAGTAGATTACCTTTACGATAACAGCAAATCAAGTATAAAAAAACGTGAACTGTGATATTTTTATCTCTAAGCGCCGCGAGCTAGTTTTAGGATCTGTTTTAAGTGTTTTTTGTTTGTTTGTTATATTTTTTTGGCTACTATTAGACTTGTCGACGCCGTGTGTCTGGTTTACATTAGAACGGGTTAACAACCGGCTGAAGTCAAT